AGAACGCAACTTCGAATGCTGGCCACGGGAATGGGAGCTGTTTTCATATATATATATATGCTACCCCCCAAACGTTTTCAGACAATTTTATTGCTTGTATGTGAGAGTTGTCCTTGATGATAAAGCAGATGTATTGAAAGCAGATTGTTCTTGATGGCCAAGCAGATGTACAACAGATGAAGCCTTTGGATGCATTTGCACAAACAGCTCATTTTGCCTTGCAGATCTCATCAGCGATCAAAGTGTACTACGCTGTTCTTAGGAAATTTCTCATTTCCCAAGCGCACAGCTCTCCGGTCGCTACCCAAAGATCTTTCTGTCTATACCAGTACAGGTACTGCGCCGAACGCAACTTGGAGCGAAGGCGCTTCGAACCTGCTGTACAGCTCTGGTTCAAGACAATCCGATCTTTGAGATATCGCCAGGCCCTTTCGATGACCTGAGTGCCGGCTTTGACCTTCAGAGCCGTCTTAGTGCCAGGCACTTTGCCCTTGACCTCCACTTGCCCTTGACCTTGACGCGCTGCTTGCAGCGCACGACATTGTCGTGCAAGACGCCAGGGACTCGGGCTCGATGGCTCTTTGCGGCATCTGTGTGAAGGATCACCTTTTTGTTTTGAAGCCATTTTTCGGCAATGGGCTTCCATTCCACATTCCGATGGCCCCTGGCCCTGGAGCTCGAGCAGCAGCCAATGCAGGCGTCAGACGATGGCCCACACCATTGCTCCCAAAAGACACACTTGGATGGGTCTGGAGCATCTGTTGCTAGGTCTTTCCTGTCAAAAGTGGCTTCATCAGCCTCCACATCGCTCCAGGGCTTTCCAGCCCCGAAGTCAATTTCCTTTTCCTTTGTCACCACCCATTTCATACGCAAGTCGCAGAGACGAGTCTCCCACTCTTCAATGACCTTGTGATTGACGCCCAAGGGCCGGTGAATGATTGGATGGGACACATTGTTCAGCTTCAAGAGTAGGATGGCTGACTGGGTGGACAAAGACGTAAACCAGCGCCGCGGCCATCAACAAACAAAGGGTGGAGGTGGTGAAGACTGATGTATGCCCAGCATCCACGGGCACTGCGGTGCCTGAGCACACCACTGGACGGATGTGGCACCAGAGTAGACAAAGTTCCCTTCTCACATCTGGGACAAACATGACCTTCCCAACATGGAAGCAGACGGTCCTCCCGAAGCTTGTGGATCAAGTCATTTTCAGTGGTGCGAAGTAACTCTGGGAGAGACCTCTTCCACGAAGTACGATCCATGCGTGTCTCATCCTTGGCCTTGTCACGGGTGTAGGCGATCTTGTTCCACGTCGAGCTCTTGGTGGACGCTGGCCGCTTGAGTTCCGCGTTTCGGATCTGGGAAAGGGTTGAACTTTGTCGCCGTGACGATCAAAACTTGACACAAGCGAGAACTACAGCAGCTACAAAATTCTGGCAGATAATGCACAGAGTTTGGAAGTGACAGTGCAATCAAAAAGGACAGAACATGAATAGATACAGACTTTCTGCATATGTGCCATTTCAATTTCAGATTGGGGCGCCATTTTTCATACGTTCAATGCTCACAAGGCTCCTGACTAGGAAGCTTCCAAGATGCTGCAAAGTACGAGAAGGGTTTCCTTCATCCACTCAGTGTCGGCGATGTCTTCTGCGGGGTCCGGGAGGCAGACACGAAAAGCGGTGCATTTGTCCAAAATCTCTTCATACTCCTTCAAAATGAAGTTGTGAAGGTCAGAGCGTTGCCCTGTTTCATCACAAAGACGCATGCCGCGGCAGATGGCACGTGCCCGGTACATCTTTCTCTCCCAAACTCTCTTCGGATAGACCATGATTGGTGAAGGTACGAGACAGTACAGGTCAGGGTAGGATGCGAACAAATTGTGGTACTCTTCATTCAGATTCTGCACAATGCGGCTGCGCTTCGACATGGCCATGGTGAGAGCAAGCAGGAAAAGAGCCACCTTAAGCAGCAAGCAAAAGGTTCAGACAGCAGCCGAAAGATGCTAGATGACAGAAGGCATGTGACAAGAACCTCCAAACAATGACAGTCAGAAGCGCAACATGTGTTTTTTCAAGTTGACAGGACACAACCTTTTGCTCCGCTGGTAGGTATGATTGGCTTCCTATACGTCGGCAAGAGATCACTCAGTCCTGGTGGGTAGCAAAGCCATGTCCAAAACATCTTCTTCATCACCTTCTCCAATCATGCCCTCGATGGGAATGGATGGATTTGGAATCGGAGATGGTGCTTCGTCATCAGAGGCCAAGTTGATAAGGCCATAGTTCATGGCTTTTTTTCTTCCACTTCTGGAGCCTCAGCTTTGATGGATGTCACTGATTCTTTTTTGGTGCTTTTGTGAACCGGGCTGTCTAGATCAATGGAGCCAGCGCAAGTTGTCAAAGAGCGCTTGAAGCCGGTGATCTCGGACTTGACTGGCTGAGGTGGCAGGCGCGTGTACTTCCACGACACGGTTGGTTTCAGAAGGATTGAACAAGGAATGTGTAATGGTTTCTGTAGACAGTGGAGGCATGTCTTTCCCTCCTCTTTCCATGACAGAGGTCATCCACGCCTGCTCCCACTTCACATGAGATACAAACTCCTCAGGTAGATGCTTGTTGCCTTTGCGATAGTGCACAAATCAATGCGTTCGACCGAAACCTCAGACTCAGTGGCGGGGCGCCAGTACATGAAGTGCTTTGTCATGATCAAGATGCAGGTTCGCTTGAGGACGGCCTCAATGTCAGACACTGAGGACCCTTGCATCCACACTGGCTCCAAGATCTGCATGAAGTCTTTGCGAGAGAGGGTTGTCACATTCCTTTTCGGTCGAGGCTCCGCGGTGAGATCTAAATCGTTGGAGATGTAGCGCGTTTGACCTTGTTGGAATTTGGCCCCTCCCCACCTCTCCTTAGTGAGGACCGTGTTGCCAATGTCACAAAAGCCTTTGAGCTTGCGCATAGGCTGTTCGGGAAGGGGACCGTCATCGAAGATGTCAAGGCGGTCCTGTCTTCCTGCCTCGCCCCTGAAGAAATCAAACTCACAGGCCTCCCGGTAGCCAGGGACATTGTGAGTGCCAAGCTTCCGCACTCAGTACTGGGACATGGCCACTGCGACAATCCTTCCAAGTGGAGTCTTTCCCACATTGGGAACACCATGCGTGCCAAGTGCTTTGTCCCTGAAAAGAGGGAAGAACTTCTCCAAGATGAAGAGGACAGAAGGGTTCACATCCACAAGTGTTAGGGGGAAGTCATGCACGGGCAAAGCTAAGACTCCATCGGTCATGAGGTTCCTCAGAGCTTCTTTGACCAATCTCTCGGGCCAGTCTTTGATGGGAGAATCCTCAGAGATGAGTTGCTTTGTGATCCATCGCAGTTGGGTGTTGCAGTGATGGCTTCGAGGGCCGTATTGCTCAATGAAATCAAATCCTTCGTCAATCTTGTCGTCACTCAGGCCATCATAGAAAGTCTTGCGGTCAGATGAAGCAGCGCCAGCAGGAGACAAAGCGAAGCTTTGGGTTTGAAACCCTCCCATTTTCTCAAACATGTATTGGAGAGCTTTTCTTATATTCTTGCTGTCACTGGACACATAGACAGTCTCCGTGGCACAAAGTCTTGAGCAAATCGGACTTCACCTGCTCAGAGAAGCTAATGTGCTTCAAGAGGAAATACTTCCCAGGTCGGTCAGGCAGAGGGACGGCAGCCAGTTGAAAGTCGAACTGCATACCTGGAGAAGCTTTCAACCCAAAGGGGGCCGGCAAGTCATGAAACCGCTTGTCTTTGCCAGCTTGTGTCACTTGCTCTTTGAGGGCAATGGGAAGTTCGACAGGGACAACCATGTCAAAGATGTGCCTGACTTTGCTGTTGTCTGAGACGGCGTTAAGAGGAAGGTCGCTGGGAAGAACGCTGCCACGAGGAAGGTCCACGATGTTGGGTTTCTTCAGATGTAGCAACAATGCATTGGTCGCATTCAGTGCGTTTTCCATGGTGATGTCGCCGCCATCGTTGAGCATGGTTTCCACAAAATTGCACGATACTGTAGAAAATGCGAGTTTGAGTCAAAATGCCTGCTACGGCCAATGATTGCAGGCCTGCGTTTCAGATGGTACAATGAAGAATTTGCTAGGCCAGATGGAGCAGAGATTTCAAATTCCCTGGCAGGCTCAAAAAAAGCAAAAATTTCAAAAGACCCTCGTCACAAAACCCTGGCAGGCTTAAAACAATCAACAAAAGCAAAAGTTTTAGGATCTATGGGGGCTCTGGGGGGTGCCTAGATTTTTGATAGTTTTGAGCCTGTCAAGGAATTTGCTTTTTTTGGCTAGCCCACCTTGCAAAAACACTGGCAGGCTCAAAAAAATTCAAAAATTTCAAAAGGCCCTAGTCACAAAACCCTGACAGGCTCAAAAACATCAAAAAAACAAAAACTTTAGGATCTATGGGGGCTCTGGGGGGTGCATAAATTTTTGTTTTTTTTGAGCCTGCCAGTGTTTTGTGACTAGAGCCTTTTGAAACTTTTGATTTTTTGAGTCTGCCAGTGTTTTTGCAATTTTTGGCTTACCCCACCTTGCAAAAATGCTGGCAGGCTTTAAAATAACAAAACATTATACCACCAGTATATCGTTTATATTTATATATATATATATTTGATCGGATGTAGGAGGATGTTCATTGAACATTTTGATCAGATGCCACATGCACATTGCAGATTCAGATTTGTTGGTACCCCCCACTTCCCCTATTTGTCTGAAAACGTTGGTTTGGGGGGTACTATATATATATGTATACATATATATATATATGTAATGGTAAACGCTTTACCTTAAATGCACCTTTGTATAATATGTCCCTTGCGCAGCAGTCAAAAATTGACACGGAGCTGTCTGTGGGCGATACCCACACCCCCACACCCGTGACTGCTACATTTTGCAGCTGACAGGACTCCTCCATCTCCTTCTCACCATGCTACTGTGCTCCCGAGTGGGTCAGGGCCTCCCAGACATCCTTTCGTTCCCTTCCTATGTTTGAAGGTGGGAAATTGACCACTTGCTTTTCTGACCCACAAGCTTAAACGTCAACTTCCATCACCCTCGGAACCCAAGGCTCGTTTCCTGATCGAGGAGTCAGAGTCTGGCACCTGTGGGGATGTGAGGGGAACGGACCAAACTAAGAATGCTTGCTTTGTGTGATCCCCATTAAAAATACATATCTTAGCCACTGCAATTTCCAGAGCAGTTCTTTCTGTTCAATCCAAGCCAGGTATTGTTTCTCGTTCCCAACGGTCTCAAGCTCCCTATGAAATAAATAAGACGGTTCCCGGTCAGGACACTTTGCCTCGTGTTTGAGGTCCAAAATCAACGTGCGCCCACACTTGGATGTGAGAGCCCCAAACGAATGGCAGGTCGCTTTGTCGTGCAAACCAGACACGGCGAGTGCCTTTTTGACTGCGATGATACTCCAACTCGGCCATTGGTTTGAACAAGAACATGACGATTTTGACGAATCATGAGTTGTGGTTTGACGATTTTTGCTTCTCAAGCCTTCAGAATGACCAAATCCTCCAAGTCCTAGGTCTGGAGCGTGGGAATGACGGTGTGCGAGCTGGCCACGTTGGATGTCATGTAGCCCAGTTGGTGGGGGAGGGTCACTCAAGATCTCCAAAGATCCCTAAAGTCTGTGGGCTGAAAGCAGATGACAGCCGACAGTTGAATTCCTCATGCCTAGTGTGCCCACTACTTGTCTTCACAGGCAGTTCTGAAGCCCATGTACGCAAACTTCCTGCGCAATGGGCACTCGCATAAGGAGGCCAGGAGTCAGGAGTGGTTCCATGGTGGGTCAAGGAAGAAGAGCCCCAAGACGCTGATGGTATCGAGCCTTCATTTGCCAGCAATCTATTGACTTGGGGCAGGTGAGCTTGCAATTTACATTCTCCTATGTGACCATAAACCATAGAGCTGAATCAGCCCACTCTTGGACCCTTAATTAGCCCCGCGCTCCTGTTTACATACAATTTACTACTAAACCCCTGAAGGCAAACCCTAGCTGGGGATTTAAGGACAAGCTATAAAACCAGTTGATTGATTTCTTATGGCCCTCGACATCGTCCATTTTTACAGTTGCCTTCTAGTAGTGACCTGGGTCATCCTATGTCATCGAAGTAGCCGAATAATTTACTGGCCTAGCAGGGTAGTTGCAGAGTGCACAGGAGGAATTACCATGTGCAAATTGCACACATCGGCTGTCAAGTACTGTCATGTTTGTTCAAAGAACGCAAACGGCTCATTCACCAGCAATATCTCACCTGTGCTCTTCTACGGGGTTGCGATTTGTCTCTCCACCAAGTTGTGCGGTCGTTGCCATTCTGTGTGCATTTCTACCATGCTCGCCTGGATGAGGAAGGATCACAGCAACCAACAAAACAACAAAACGAGTGGTGCCATGTGGTTCTTGATTTCAAGTCATCAAACATAGCATGGCAGCATGGCCATATCCCATTCTGTTTGGACTTTTGGGTGATTGCGGCACCAGGCTGGCTTCCTGTTCATGGACTGGCTTGGAAGTATTGCAAAGGCTCGGGCGTTTGGATATGCTGTAACTTTGCCGTTAAGCTTTGCATCGGTTCTGAATGAGCCAGACCCCCAAAATAATCCCAACATACTCACAAAAAGGTTTGTGGTGTATTTTGCTGAGTTGAGCACAAAAGACACAAAAGCAGCGTCGTTTTTGGAAGCCGCGTTGGGTCGACGCCGCTTTTCGCCGAATCGCTCGCCTCGGGACCAGGCTCCCTTGCCAAAGAGCATCGAGCGGTTGGAGGGGCCCAGCGGTTCGAGCGGTTTCATGGTGTTTCCAAGACTTTGCAAGAATTTCATGGTTTGTTGGACAGATTCCAAGAATGCCACTTTTCACGGCGATGGCCGAGGTTCGATGATGGATTTCACAAGATGTTGGTGAATGGTTTGCTGGTTTGCGATCAGCACAAGAGGACATGAAAAGAATTGGCAATTCATACTGTTGTTTGTCGTCCGCTGTGGCGGATGTGTATTGTGTTCAACGACTTTTGTTTGGCGTAGAGTGTTCCCGGAAGTTGGCAAGTGCTGCCAATGGGCTGGTGCGGCCGGTGTGTTCCCCCCCTTTTCAGTACAGAGTCGTAGCGTCCCAAACAAGCAGCGGTCCAGTTTTTGGATCGTTGTCGACTTCCTTGTTGTTCATATTTTGGAGGCTCAGAATGCAGATACACAATCATTCCACAGAAAATAAGAGTACTGCAGATCGTGTGTCGTTGCCTGACGATTCGACACTGCTTGGCGCCTGATACGTTAGAAGCTTGCTCACCCGCTGCCGGCGGTCCTGGGTGCAGGAAAACACTAGCGCAGTGTCTTTCCGACCCCTACCTGGAGTCAGACAGCCACAGGGTGGGACGTGTCGAGTCAGCATTTCACGGACGGTGCCGGAGTCCAACTTGCGCCGCTACTGCCTTTTGAGAGCCATAATCGACAGGTCATTGATAGGTCATGGGACTGAAGACGATTGGACAGTTCAAAGATAGCTTGCAAGCAGTGTGAACATTTGGCAGGATCTCTGGGAACTTGTCCAGAATATGTTTTCGTGGCTAGCTGCAATCGATCAATGTTCAAAAGACATCCCATCGCGTCGCTGGTTCGTCGTGACGAGCGCTTAGCTCGCTCGGAGCAGGTGGCCAGCTCCGACCGGGTCTCGGGGATCGAGCACAGCAATTCGGACTGCGGGTCTCTTCGGAGCGTGAGTTGGGGAGGATGTGTCGGTTTTGGAGACAGACGCCCGGTTTTGAAAAAGGTACCTTGGGAGTGAAAGGGGATGTGACAGTTTTTGGGAGAATTTGGCAGGAAGCTCCACCATTGCCGATGAACGAGAAGGTGGACAGGACCACCCGCAATCGCATTGAAGACACCTCCAGCAAGGCGGTCTGGAGACTTGAGACGGACACGAAGCCGAACGGACACGAAGCCGAACGCTGGCTTGAGAAGAGGCACGCTACTAGGTGGAGGCCATCGCTATTTGGAGGCCATCGCTACTAGATTCACCTAGGAACAAGAAGCTACTAGTAACAAGGACTTCACACCGAAAGTAGCTTGGAGCCAATTCGGGTCGGAGTGGATGAACGTGTTAGTGAGTTCGTGGGACTTTTTTCCTGCGCACACATGATGGACAAGCCAGATCACATGATGGACAAAGGATATTACACTCACCAAATCCTGATGACTGTCAGCCAAACACACAAACATGGACCATCAATAAGCTACGTATGCACGCAATATCTGCGCAAGTACTTTCAATTAACACAATCAATCTTTGTGTTCTGCCTGTTTTTCCAACAGGGAAGCACTGCAGGGGATCTTAGGCAGGAGAGGCTACCATCCAACACTATTGGCCAGGAGTCTGACCTGCCGCCCAAACCCTCAAACCTCCTTCCAGCATCGCAAACAAGTTTAGAGTTTAGACACAGTTTCTGAGGGTTGGGCTGTGAACCTTCGATGAAACTCTATATCTAGTTCCTAATATCACCTCTACTAATGAAAAGTGCGTAGGCAGCATCCGCTTCTTTCTCAGATATACGGAGAAAGCCGTGTCCAATTGTCACGAAAGCTAGCACCAGCTAGCTGGAGTTGTCCTTGCTTTAGCAAGTGAGGGGCTGGAATCCTCGGGATCGCCGCATCACGTGAAAACTTCATATGTAGGGGGGGGCCCCCCCCCCCCGTGGGTTCAACTCCCCCCTCGGACGCCTCTGGGACACCTCTCGGGCATCTCTTATGGCATCCACTTTGGCTTAACTCCTCCGGGATACGGTGCAACAGCTTCAACAAGCTCACATGTTCATGACATCGACATCGATAGAAGAAACCAAACAAATCATGCAAGCAGCTTTGTTTTGCCTCTGGGACACCTCTTGGGCACCTCTTATGGCATCCACACTGATTCAATTCCTCCGTGGAGGTTTTGGGATACGGTGCAACAGATTCAACAAGCTCACAGGTTCGTGAACACATCGGATGCATCGAATAGTGTGGCAAAGTCCAGCCACGCTTCCTTAATTATCGGGGACTTCAATTCTAAGGTTGGCTGTGTCAGTGCTGTTTGTGTGTCTTACATGTTCACAACGTTTTACCTCATGAGCATTTGCCTCACTCCGCTTGATGTCCCACCAGTCCGGATGCACCCCTGCTAGCTTTCGTCACCTACCCTCGGCCTCAAGTTTTTGGTCGGACCACACTTACCGCATCTCACCGCAATGATTGGGCGCACGGAGCGGCACTCTGTGACGTTGCTTCGCTGTTTTGTCGACTTCTTTGTGGCCTCGGGTCATGCGGCAAGACTCTTATTTAATTTGTTGGGTACTAGGGGACACACCAACATATTCTGCCGTGATTTGAGGCCTTTCTTCTTTTTAGCCAATCCCCATGTCATTCTGTTTGTTCTCTGCAGCTCCATGGCAAGAGCTTGACCCCGGCTCCTGACTGACGCCAGGCTCCACTCTACAAAGGCACCTTGTGGAAGCTCAACACAGATGGCAACCCGCAGGCGAGCGTGTCCAAAGAGATGGTCGAAAGCGAGAACATGTCCAAACTGGTCGCAGAAATCCCCACCCCTTTCAGAGGCGGTTGTACGGGAAGAAATTCTTGCGCCCCACCCCTTTCAGACGGTTCCTCTCAGCTTGCAAAGCTAGTCGTGGCGATTAGTTGGGTATGGCATGCCTTGTCCGCATAACGAGAGGTCTATATAGTCTACGGTGTGGTTAGGTGGCTGCCATTGCCGAAAATTCATGAGAGAAAGCCAACACCCTTCACAGCCAGAAAGACGCCTGTGAGCCTGCCAGGATCCCACACACTGGCTGAAACGGGATATGTGGGTCAAGAACCTCAGTTCCGAGAAGTGCGTTATGTATGTCGAAAACGCTCCGAGCTACTGACATGTCTCAACGACGAGGTATGGTCATCCAAGGGCCCATGGTCCATTTCCATTTCAGCGATTAGCGATTGTATGTCTTATGTCACACATGTCCTTCCTTCTGATCATTCTTTCATGGGAGACAGCGCACCCAAACCACCCGGACCGCTGAGAGCCGACCATCTCCTAGCGATGAGCAAGCTCACCTTGACAACTCACTTACAGCGCGAGTTGGCCAAGGTGGCTTTCAATGGATCCCTTTGCTACTTCAGTATCAAAGAGAACAAGCGCCGGAGACACAGCTTTGCGTAGCAGACGTAGTGTTCATATTTCCTGGTTCACCCCGCTTCGACGGAGGTTTGGTGTTGGTGGATGGCTCCAAGCTCTCAGGTGCAAAGGCCTCCGAACTTGGGTCAATGGTCTTGGTTTGAGCGTGCAGTCCAGGCATTTCTAGGAATTCCCATTGTCGCCTGTAACTTGCAGATTCTTTCAAACAGATGACTTTCTTGGGCCATTCTGCTGTGGAGGTCACAAAAATGAGTGCAGCCAGAGAGCACGCTTTCAGGCCAACAGCCACACAGTAAAAAGATGTAAAAAGAAGAAACGCAATGAGCCTGATGAGTTAAAACATCTCATCAGTTATACGCAGATTCAACATGTGGGTTGACCAAAGGGGTCTCGGGAGATAGATGAGCAGATAGGGCTTGTAAGTTTCACACACACAATTTTGCAGAGGCAGCGTGTTGAGATGTCTGAAGTCGATGGCGCCAATTTTGCTTTTGAAGGTCTCCCACATATTGGGCCTTACCATAGGGAACAGAGTTTGGCCTTTCACCGAGATTGAAGAACTTTCAGGAAGGGATCCCTTACAAGAATCATTCCAATCCAACTGAAAGTCACTGGACCTTGGGCGTCGCAGGTTGGAATGTGTCAATCATGACGAACATGAGAAGGAGTGCTCAGTGGAGCGTGCTCAATCATGACCACTCTTGCTCTCCGGTTTTGAGCTGCAGATTTCACGTCTACCGGCGACGGTGTTTTGTGGCGACCTGTTGTGACGGAGCACGCATGCCGAGCGGAAGCGGTCTGCCCTCAGGACGTCAACATTGGCTTCTCCGCGGAGTCTCCTGAGGAGTCAGCCACCTCGGTTCAGTTGGTGCACCTTTTGGTGCGAATTCCTCCATCGAAGGAAGTTCGAAGCAGAGAAAAGCCTTTTGTGGGTTCTCAGCCTCGCTAGTGGACCTACACGTTCCTCCACCCTAAGGTACGCAAAGTGGACGGGGCTGTTGATGCACACTGCCAATATGGACGGTCATCGCAGCTCATTACAGCTCATTTGCAAACTTTTATAAGACATCAGCTTATTACATCTCAGCTTTTATTCCGCTCAAGAGAGAGCAAAAAGCACTGGATCTTAGTGATGACAGAGGCAAATGAGCCGTAGATTGTGCAGTGCGAAAGGAGGTCGCTTTCGCTTGTTTGTGAGCCCCATGCCAGCCAGGTGCCATTCAAACGATGAGATTGGGTGGCGATGTTGCTGCTGAGATCAAGCAATTTAGGCGTCCGGGCACCGGCACCGGCGCCTATTGCGGGCCGGCACGCGTCCGGGCAGCGGCCGGGGGGTCAGTGGAGGTCCGGTCCGGTCGTCCTCCTGAAGTCGTAAGAGATGTGGATAAAGTCGGATTCCGCAACTCCACAGGATTCCGCAACTAGGGTTCCGCAACTATTTGGTCGGATTCCGCAACTGAGGTTCCGCAAGTAGGATTCCGCAACTAGGATTCCGCAACTGGGATTCCGCAACTAGGGTTCCGCAACTAGGATTCCGCAACTAGGATTCCGCAACTAGGATTCCGCAACTATCAGGATTCCGCAACTAGGATTCTGCAACTAGGATTCCGCAACTAGGATTCAGCAACTGGGATTCCGCAACTATCAGGATTCCGCAACTAGGATTCCGCAACTGGGATTCCGCAACTAGGATTCAGCAACTGGGATTCCGCAACTATCAGGATTCCGCAACTAGGATTCCGCAACTGGGATTCCGCAAGGACTCCGCAACTAGGATTCTGCAACTAGGATTCCGCAACTAGGATTCCGCAACTCGGAATCCGAAACTTAGAAGGTGGGGACAGGGGGGTGGGGGTGGGGGTGGGGGGGGATGGGGGGGGCTAATGACGTTGGGTTGGATGTCCTTCGAAGATGTCAGAGGCACACGCGCAACTAGGATTCAGCAACTGGGATTCCGCAACTGGCATTCCGCAACTAGGATTCAGCAACTATCAAGATTCCGCAACTAGGATTCCGCAACTCGGAATCCGAAACTTAGAAGGTGGGGACAGGGGGGTGGGGGTGGGGGTGGGGGGGGATGGGGGGGGGGCTAATGACGTTGGGTTGGGTGTCCTTCGAAGATGTCAGAGGCACACGCGCAACTAGGATTCAGCAACTGGGATTCCGCAACTATCAGGATTCCGCAAATAGGATTCCGCAACTAGGATTCCGCAAATCGGAATCCGCAACTAGGGTTCCGCAACTAGGTTTCCGCAACTAGGATTCCGCAACTATCAGGATTCCGCAACTCGGAATCCGAAACTTAGAAGGTGGGGACAGGGGGGTGGGGGTGGGGGTGGGGGGGGATGGGGGGGGCTAATGACGTTGGGTTGGATGTCCTTCGAAGATGTCAGAGGCACACACGCTACCGCGTCATATCGAGATAACATGGTTTGGCCGAACATGCTTGCAGGGTGCATGCCACTTTAGTACAAAGCGACCCTATATGGGA